GAGGACCCTTTTTGACCACCTCATCATCAATTGATTCACCATCTTTCTTTTTGTAGCGTGAAGCCTTGCATTTTGGACAATGATTATACTTTTCATACTCTTTTCTGTATAATATGCAATCATTAGGGCATGCATGTATCTTTTCATACTCCAAACCCATCAGACACAATATTTTCTTCGCCTCGTAATAACGACTTGGCATTACATTACCTTCTGGAAGCATTTCGATCAACAATTCAAGCAACTCGGTAAAACATTTGTCAGTCCACCCATTCTTTGCCTTCAGATTAAATAATTTTAACACGGCTGACAGACGTGTAAATTTTGTGCATCCCGTGTACAATGGTTTATCTTTGTCATTGCATAAAGTATCATACGCATGTGCCCTCTTAAACGAATCTTGTCCAATATCACGCAACATGTCTTCTAGGCGATCATCCATTTCTACACTAACATCATCTATTTGAGACACGTTTGACTTTGCTACTACTTCACCGTGCCATATCCATTTTGTATAACTTTGACAAATCCCTACACAAATTAGATGATCCATGATTTCTTTCTTACTACGTTTTGGTTCTTTATTTGCACAACGAACACATGGACAGAGAAAAAGCGTAGGAAGACTTTTGTCAGCATTACTTTCAGCAAACTGTAGAAATTCCATCACTCCATGTTCGTACTCGTCACTTAATCGATTAGCTCTCATCCAACTACGATCCATAACTATGTTCACACGGAGGAAGGTCTGACGAACGGTGTGCCCGCGGCTGCGCTACTTCACGGAGATTCCGAGATTGCAAGTTGCGCTGCTTCGCGGAGAAAGCAAAATATAATCAAATTTCAATGGCAAGGTGATAACTCTATTAAGATTTCAAAACTTGAAACTTAAGTCTACAAAACTTTTTATTGAGAAAAAAGGTGCTACTTATCAAGTTGATGGAAATATTGAGGAGTGCAACATACAGCATTCATATGCAATATGTAAGGGTGATTTTGAACTATTTCAAACATCATCAAATTGTCAAGTTATATTTTTAAAATCATTATGTCAAGTTTTGTGATATTTGTAGTTAGAATCAAGGCAGTAGGATTTGGCTGTAAATTATTATTATAATACTAAAAGGACGCAACATATAAATATTGTGATGTTGAAATAATTTATTTTGGTCCTTTCTTTTTTCATTACAGTAGAATAATGTTTCATTAGAAATGACAGAGGAAATTGTTTGATAACGGTAGGCTTTATTAAAGTAGAAATGACATAAAAAATGGTTTCATTTGAATGTCCATTAATATGTCTATAGTTTGGCATGTGGGTCTCAAATTTCAACAGAGTTTGTTTTGAATAAGATGTCCCTATGGTTTCATATGAATGTCCATAAATATTCGTAGAGCCAATGAAGCTAAGTTATTAAATTTGGCAGATGTATACTTAATGCCGAAAAAGTTATTTATCTAAGTAATGTGTTATAGCCAATGAAGCTAACTATTATACTTTAGCATAATAGCGAACCCAGTTTTGACAAATAATTGCTCAAGGAGAATACTTGTGCTTTCTAAAAACCTTTTATAATCACAATTTACACTCCCTCCTCTTTTTTTCGTGTTTTTTAATTCGTCAGTTCAATATATTAATAGTTTTGTAACTTGAAAGTAATCGATCAACGAATGAATACTAGATTTTTTTTTAGGACAAAAAGAGTACTATTTTTATAAGTTGCATAATGTATAAATAAATTGGTTAATAATAATTTGATCTCGTGGCACAATTAGGACAATATGGGGTATGTTTTCCAATATTTTCGGCCATGGTTTCACAATGCATAACACCTTATCTTCTCTTAAAGATATTGTTGCTTTTTTAACTCAACAAATAAAGTTTCTCAAAGAAAATTGTTCAAGTTAAAGCGCTTGAAATGAATTTCTACCTAGTGTTAACATAAGGTATTGACTTAAATCAAGAGAACAAACATTGCATCAATAACATTATGGATCAAATAAGTGAAGAATGTGACTTACAGTTGAAACGGCGAGCGAGGAAGGGCGTGAATCGGCCGATGAAAAGTCGTGAACGGCGTGAACAGAGTGAACGACGTGAAACGGCGACAAGGAGACGTAATCAAATTTCAACAAACCGCATCATCTATGTTCATCAAACAAATCTGCAAATTCACAACAAAAATCATCATCAATGGCGGTCGAAAACGATGAAACACGAACGAACAGAACCACCGCGGTCAAAGACGACGACCAGAAACGGCGGAAACACGAATGGAAACCACCGCGGTCGAAGAGGACGACCGGAAACGGCGGTCGAACAGGAAGACCGAAAACGGCAGCCGAAACGGGGTTTTACCATCAGTTGCGGTGGTCCGTCAGTTGCGGCGAGGAGGTTGAGGGCGATGGAGGTGTCGTGCAGTGAACTCGCGGTGGTCCGTCAGTTGCGGCGAGGAGGTTGAGGGTGACACGGTTCTGTCATGGAAGCGATGTTGGTGGCGGTGTTGGTCGCGGTGATGGTGATGAAGACGGTTGGCAATCGGAATCGGGCGGGCTTGCAGATTTCCTCTTCTCTTGTTTTTCAGAATAGGGCGCGGCGCGATGGAGTGGTGGAAGGAGTTGTAATTTTTCTACTGTTTGGGAAATAAGGGTTTGGCACCTATTACATCGGTGCGTCGTAATACCCGATGTAAGGGTTGGCTCGGGTTTTGCACCTATTACATCGGTGCATTGTAATACCCGATGTAAGGGTTGGCTCGGGTTTTGCACCTATTACATCGGTGCATTGTAATACCCGATGTAAGGGTTAGCTCGGGTTTTGCACCTATTACATCGGTGCATTGTAATACCCGATGCAAGCTTTTTTTATGACTTTTTTACATCGATTTAAATTTCCACCGATGTAATAAGTTGCGAAAAAATTAATTTATTCTTTAATTTATTTTTTATATTAATATCTGTTGTGAAGATATTACATCGGTTTTTAGTCAACCGATGTAATATGTTGCATGTTTTTTATTAATATTTCTACTACCTTGTTTCTTATTTACAAAAATGCCATCGTATTTTTTTTCTGAAAACTTTTTACATCGGTGGATGCGTTTTCCCGATGTAATAGGTAGCGAAATATATTTTTTTTCATATTTTTTATATCATTGCAAATAAATACCTGATGTAAAAAGTTTGTTAATTGTATTTTTTACATCATATATTTTGATACCCGATGTAAAAACCTTTTCTCAAATGTCTTTTTTTTAGTAGTGGATTAGTAACGGTCGCACAGTAGGATAGCAGTTATTTTGTTTGTTTATTTAAGCAAAATTTAGATTCATTTGCAGAGGTCGCATTTTGTAACTTGCAAGAAAAGCTCAAAGTACCAGCGACTGAGAGAAACGAGTGACTTCCAGAAAAATGTATGCATGCGTTCAGCTCTAATTCAAAGCAATTTACATCTTTAAGTCTTGTTTTATGTTTTGTCCTTATCTTGTGATTGTCTTTGTTTTTTTACTTGTTACATTTACAATTCAGTTTTTACCCAGTTCAAACACCAAAATCATACCAAACTTAACACTAAGTCTAAGATTTTTGTAGCCGGTCCTGCAAGTAAACTTTAATTAAGAGGCAACTAGTTGTTTGCTAGAAATCTGTACAAACAACTAGTTGTTGTTTTAAGCAATTTCACTTTTGATTTTTTTCGGAAATAAACTTTCGGTTATATCTGACATGTAAAAGGTGACAACATTTTAATTTCCCGCACTAATTAATCGATATTGCATTTTCGATTCCCTACCGTAAATGTATTTCCAAGAATAACTAAAATTAAAAAAAAAAAGTGTCCCAATAATACACTTCCTAAAATATTGGAACAAATTGGAGTTTTGATAGAATTGTTTTCAAAAGCATAAGGTGACATGAGAAATTCCCATTTGTAAATGGGACTGAACATTCATGAAGCAACAAATTGCAATGGGCCATGAGCCACATAATCAAGAAGTTATGAAAAATTCGCTATTTGAACGGTGGTTCGATTAGCCAATGGAAGTCAGAAACCCAACATTGAAAAAAAGATCAAGTTTTCTAATAGAAAAAACCTCAGATTAGAAAATTCAATACATTACAAATATTAATTAACGCCAAATAAAAATCAATCCACTAATCCAACTAATACTTCATTAACACAAGAAATTTGGGAAAGTCATAAACAATCTGGTACCTAAGCAACAACTAGACTATTTTACCCATCCGGATTTCGAGGATGCCTCTCTTTGCCAAATTAAATAAAAAGGGAAAAAAATTAAGGTGAAGTCTCAACACCCAGTAATTATATTTGACTGAAAAGTTATAAATGATAACATTAAAATTAAAGGCATTCTAAAACTAAAATTAATTTACTATAGAGCAACTAAATATATTAAAATCTATTTCATGTTTTTTAGATCGATTATTTTCAAAGCAAATCATCTTTCAAATTAAATTACTTTACAACTCAAATTAATTACCAACTACTCTCTCCGTTCGTATTTAAGTGTTACTTTTATAAAAAATTTATGTTTTTTTTAATTGTTACTTGAAAAATTTAATATAATAATTATTATAATTTTGTTAAAATCACCCCTAATTATTTATTATGAAGAAAAAAAACTATATTAAAATGACTAAAAATTAAAGGTATTATAGACAAAAGGAAAATTATAATATAAAAAATAAGAATAATTATAAGTTTTTGTTAGTATGGGTGAAAAGTCAAAAAAATTAATAAAGAAAGGAGGAAGTAGTTTAGTTAATATTTTCTATAATAAAGTCAAACATAAAATCAAACATACAAACACACAATACATAGAGCATTATGCATACATAAACATAAAGAGAGATCGTTCAAGTTTTTATTTTACACTCTCCTTCTATAATATTGAATGATTTTAATGTGAGTTTCACACAAAATCATCTGTATAGAACACACACAAATATTTTTTTTAAGGAATGATGTATTAGAATACAGATTAACCAGTTTTAACTAAATTTCCATCAAGATCTCTAACAATATTAATGATAAACTGCTGGTATTTCTTTGGAGGTAGGGTATCATCATTAAGCTTCTCATATTCTATTCTCAACTTTAGAATTTGATTCTCAACTTTCACAATGGCCTTGTAGCTTTTGTACAATTCTAACACATTCCCTCCAGCAGCAACATAAGTTATAGTTTTGTTCACTTCATCCACTTCAATTCTTTCCTTGAATATCTCCTCCTTTCCTTCTGCATTAATATTCAACACAAAAAAAATTGATGAAAATTATAAATCAAATAACATATAGTGATAGTTACAAAAATAACAATAATTCGCAAACCTATGGTAAATTTCCAAATCTTAATAGAGCCAGGAGTGTTCCAATCGCCTTTGTGAATCTCAACAGCATGCACGTTTTCACTCTGTGCTTTATTTGGAATGTGTTGGCTTTGGCTCTTGAGGAAGTTATAGAACTTTTGAGGACATGATTTGAGTTGCACCGTTGTCTCAAGGACACAAACTTGAGCCATGATTTTAGATAAACACAATTTTACTAAAGATATACACAATGAAAATTTCAAGCTCTAAAGTTGTGGAATGCTCTCTAATCTGCTTGTTACATATTTATAGTTGTAGAGAATGTTAATCTCACTGTCCCTTTTGGAAAAGTAGTGCTCAAAGAATAAGGTGAATGAGAAAATCAAAATGAAGAAAAATTGATAGAAAAGTAAGTAGGGCAAAATTAAACTGAGGTTACTTATAAAAGAAATTTCCCAAATGATTAGGCTGAAATATTATTAAAATGAATTGAAAAAAAATTAATGGTATATATTCAAGCATCTCTCAAATTAATATTCATGATGTAACCATCACAATGACCGCAATTGTAATCTCTACAACACAATTTAGTTTGATACTTAGGCACATATAGTGAGCAAATCAACAGAACTCCTACAAAAGGGAATACAATGCTGCATTTTAATTTAGTTCATTGTCTAGTTGTTCAAAGAATTTGTGCATCTGTCAAAAAGAAGGAAAAAAGAATATGTACTTGAGAATTTTACTAGTTCCACTGCCACCACTTGCAGAGGAATTTTCCATTTTAGGGCTAGAATATGAAAAAAAAGTGATAGTGAATCTTAAATTCTCAAAACAAAAATTGCAGGCAAACGTGGGTGAAGCGCACAATAGATAAAGTTAGTATTTTGATATTCAAATTAAAGTTAGTATTCACAAGAGTCCGTGGACAATAATTTTGATGCAATATAAGATTAGTTTATGAAAAGAGTATGTAACAGCTTGTTGTCATGCGAAGTTTGATATATTGCCGACTAGTTATGATATAGTTGTTTGTTTGTTTGATTTGATGTTTGTTTACTTGATAAGATAATATGTAGTGTAACTTCAACTTGTAACAATGATCCCTTTTTCATTAAGCATTATGTTAAAAAAAGTTTTTTTTTCTTCGTTACCCTAAAAAAAATGGGTAGATTATCCATTATGGTGTGAAGTCATTTATAAGCTGAGAAATGTAATCCACTAGATTTTGTGAATCTCACGAAGCATTTTGCTTGAATGGTTAACTTCTAAAATGCATTCCACTCCTTTATATAAGGTTTGTATGGTCATGCATGGATATGCATGATCCTCATAGCACCTCATAGCCATGCATTCTATTTGCATGCTTCTTTCATGTTATCATGCACACATATATAGTATTGAAAATTTGTTTTTGCGAAGACAGATGTTGAACTCAATGTTGGACAACTACTCCAACTAATTTAAAATTGATAATATATTTAAGAGACGGATAATAGATTTAAGGGACAGATGTCAGACACGATGTCTGAGATATTGTACGCCAGAAAATCAAATTTACTATCAAGTTATAACAACTTAAATTATACAAGATGAAGAAGTAGGAAATCAGAAAATAACGCAAGAGATTGATAATCCAGTTCGGTGAAATCATATCTACATCTGGAGGACACTCTATCCAAGAAAGGAAATTCACTACTTCAAATTAGTACAATTAGTCTTATAAGAACACCAATTCCATGATGTTCAATTCCTCTTCCTAATCGTAATGACTTTCTATTTAGGACTCCCCTAAATAATGGAATCCCTCTCACTTTCACTACTACATAAAAATCATTTCATAACGATTGGAAAAGGGATACCACAACGTCTGTCCAACCATTGTGAGGTAATGGATGGTTGTATGTATGATGCTTTCCACCACGGTCGTGTGCCCGTGATTATAAGTTAAGTAGTGTGCTACATATCACAACAATTACTTCAAACAACCGTTGTGATATTCTTTAACGCATAAAATTTAACAACTATTATTCTAAACAACAGTTATGATATATACACTGAGTTTATTATAAATTATGTAAAATGCTTATTTCGTCAATACTCACTAAACATATAACCTTTCGATTTGATCTAGAATATTATAATACCACAAATTAAGTTATATTATAAGAACACATTACACATTCAATGCTAAACAAGAATTCTTCAGCTCCTTATCCATATTTTTCTCTTTAACTGTTAGAACTTGGTTTAATGCTCGTAGTTCTTCAACCTCATTCCTTCACCTCTAGTACATTTTGCAACATATTATTTATTTTGTAAACAAAAATTAGAAGTGAAGGAAGGGGGTTGAAGAACTAGAAGTATTAAACCAAGTTCTAACGATTAAAGAGTGGAATGCAGATAATGGGCCGAAGAATTCTTATCTAGAATTGAACGTGTAACTTGTTTTTTAATATAACTTTATCTATCATATTATAATTTTCTAATGAAATCCTGAAAGTTATATATTTGATAAGATGTTGGAAAAACACTCAAATCGCATAAGATATAATAAACTCATTATTTAAACAAACATTAAAAAAAATATTCATCAACAACAAACCTTAAACAACATACAACTTTTATTAATAACAACAATAACATATCAACTCATAAAATATTTTAGAAATGTACCTGTCCCATAATGACATCTAAAATAAAAAGGAGAATAAAGTTGAAGTAAGAGCTGCAAACTTGTGTTAATTTTGAATGAGTTTCATTCTGGGTCTGTCACACAAGTTTGTCGTGCTCACTTTATCTTCATCTTTGTTAATTTATTCACTCACCCATCCCTACCTACAAGTTAAAAGAAGCAGAAAGTTTAAACATTACGAAACAAGCTATTGAAACGTAAACAATAATAGATAAACATATTTTGAAACATAAACTATTGTAAAGACGAATCAGTAAGGTAGTCATTTCCTAAGATTTGAAGAAGATAAGTTCACTGCATAAGTTTGAGATTTCCATATGAGAGAGACGAGTGACATAGATGTTAGGATTTTTTTTTTAGAGAGACGAGTGAAATAGATGTTAGGGTTTTATTTTGAGAGACGACTATTATATACTGAAGTGAGAGATAAGTTAGCTTTAATATAATGTGTAACATCTTTCACCATGGGATTTAATACGAACCGTGATGAAATGACTGCACTTTATACCACGGTTATTAAAATAACCATAGTGATATACAAAGTCAAGCCTATTTTGTCACGATAAATGGAAAATTTTTGGTGCTGAGATTCGAACTCTTCCACTCCAAGTACATTTCACTACGGTTGTTAACTATGACTATATTGAAATATATTTTAGTAAATACAAAAAAAAATCCCAAAAACGAGTTATTACTGCGGTTAACAGGAAGACAGTTGTAACGTTGTGTTACGAAAGGTCCATTTCGTAGTTGTGTTTTTCTCAATTATTAATCCAAAGTGATCAACTTAATCATTAACTCAATGATTGTTGAATTTATCACTCAAGTAAGACAAACTAATAATTATGCCAAGTTACTGAAGTAATAGTGTGGTGTATAATAAACACTTTGTTCTCAAGCTTATAGAATTAGTGTCTTGAAATAAAGTTTTACAACTCAACTAACAAACCAAACTCTATACCTTAAGATATAAATGTAGGCGCTAGAGTGGTGCTCAAAAATAACACAATTAAGACTAAAGAGATAAATCCTAGTACAATGTATCTTCAAAACATGCACACCTCAAATGTGAGGTTTGAGTCTCTTTAAATAGCAATGCAATTTCGAGCTTTTCTCTTTTGGATTTCAGATTTAATGACTTCTAAAATAATAGCATAGATTGTTGGATTTGATTTGCTCCATAAAAATCTCCAACAAAAGATATGATGTGTTATTAATTCAAATTTAAATTTAAATCTCCATTTAAATTGATTTGATCTTCAACAGCTGTCAAACAAATCACAAAAGCACATTGCTAAAATATAGCAACAAATTTGATTAAATCTCAACCAGAATTTTGCTCCAAAAACATAACAACATTGGCATGTTGAGCTAGGGCTAGATGTTGCACATGTGCTGGAATATTGTATTCCACATGTGTCCCTTCACTAAAACTACAACAATATTGGGTTGTTAATGCTAGAACATTGTGTTCCACATGTTACACCAGAATATCCAAAATAACTATCTTTATATAAATCTTCTTTATATAGTAAATCTTAGACCACATCTTCCTTCAAAGTACATCCAATCATCTCTTCTTTGACTGAATCAAATTCAAATCTTTTAATTAAATCATACTCTTCATATTCATGATTTAATAAAATCTTTACCAAATTGGTTTGAATTGACAAACTTCATTCACACTAAACTTTTGCATCTTCTGAAGAAGTCAACACCATAACTCTTTTGAAGGAAATCTGAAGATATTCAGAACATAAAGCTTATGCCAAGATGGTACACTAGCACATTTTGAACCTCTTGCTTAACAAGTTATGTCAGCCACTTTAGCTACATGTTGAACCTCTTACTTAACAAGTTATGTCAAGCTCTTTAGCTGCATGTTGAATCCCTTTCTTAACAAGTTCTGTCAAGCACTTTAGCTACATCTTGAACCTCTTGATTAACTAGTTTTGTCAATCATTTTATCTAAATTTTGAACCTCTTCTTAGAAACAAACACAATCACACTCAGATGTTGGAACACATGTTGAAACGTCTTGTTTCACATGTTGCCTTTGTGTAAAATATACCTTATACATATGTTGTTTTACCTAATTCATCCAAACAAAAGGAACTACAAGTATTCTACATACACCTATGGTATTCTACATGCATGACATATATTTCTCCTAATACTCCCCCATTGTCTCAAGAAGGGCTATATGTCACAGCTTTGAGCTAGGTCCTTAAATCTTGAAAAGTTGCAATACCCAAGGGTTTGGTTAGTGTGTTTGCAACTTTAACACTACTTATAGACATATTGAATCTTCAGTTTCTTGGCAATAACACATTCACGAATAAAGTGGATGTCCAATTCAATGTGTTCGGTCTTATCATGAAAAACTGAGTTATCAGAGAGCATCACAACACTCAAGTTATCACACAAGAGAGTAGGAGAAAGAAAAGAAACTAACACTTAACCATTTAGTGATTCTATCCACAACAGTTAAAATATGGTGTGAGCAAGAGCACAATA